GTGAGTGTTTATCCTTCCAGGCTAGAAAAACAAGTCTCCTAGAGGCTGAGCACACAGAATCCATTGTTGTTTCCAAGCTGTTAGTCCCCATACTATGGGCAAGTAATTTTAAATTACATGTACATCTGTAAATATCAAGGATTCTGCCAATACAAAATTAATATGGGCATCATTGGAAAACCCCACTTCATATGGCTCAATGAGGCATTTTCAGCATTATATCTCCAATATTTATGAATAATGGCAGAAGAGACACTGGTGCACTCTGCTAAAGCACTGGTAGTTCCCAAGCTCTGGTGCCAGTCCTGAGAGAGAAAGCATGGCAGAAGACCCTGGGGAAAGCATTGTGCAGTATTGGCACTGCCACTGTGGAGGCTCTTTTTTGTGTTCACGAGCATCTAATCTTACATGGGACAGGAAAATACCATATTATGATGTGTAAATACAACAGAAAAGAATCCAAGCAAAATATCATGACAGAACCCCTAAACTGAGACAATGTAGTGGAAAGTGTGGTTCTCATAGAAGAGGTTTTTGTCTGCAAGGTCAATAGATGGTATCTCAGTTAGATATGCTGGTTTTCACAGGCCTTTTATGACCTAGAAAGGCATTTCTGAAAGACAATTTCCATACTCGGTGGCAGGTGAAAAGAATATCTACACAGCTGCCACTACCATGGCATAATCTTTCAAAAACTGATCTGTCCCACAGTCCACCTGAACCTGCATGCTGTAATCATCTTCCTAGCTTCTTAATATGCATCAAATGTATCTTGTTGTTGACATTCGTCTGTCTTGAGAGACAATGGAGTGTGCCTCCGGGGGTGAAGTGTTAGCAGCACCAAAGTGACCTCCCCAGGACGCAAACTTGGGCAGGGGATATGAAAATCCTGGGCTGCCAAGACATCAGCCTCATTGATGTGGTCCAAAGGAAAGCAGAGCAATACTTTGGCACCAGCTTGGCTGTAGGAGTTGCCAGAAGGAATCATACAAGGTGCCTTCCAACTGTCTTAAAGGTAAAGGTAAAGGGGCCCATGACCATTAGGTCCAGTCGTGACCGACTCTGGGGTTGCGGCGCTCATCTTGCTTTACTGGCCGAGGGAGCCAGTGTACAGCTTCCAGGTCATGTGGCCAGCAGGACTAAGCCGCTTCTGGCAAACCAGAGCAGCACATGGAAACACTGTTTACCTTCCTGCCGGAGCGGTACCTATTTTTCTACTTGCACTTTGACGTGCTTTTTAACTGCTAGGTTGGCAGGAGCAGGGGCTGAGCAACGGGAGCTCACCCCATTGCAGGGATTTGAATCGCCAACCTTCTGATCAGCAAGTCCTAGGCTCTGTGGTTTAACCCACAGCGCCACCCGCGTCCCACTTCCAACTTCTTAGGTTGTGTCAAATCAACATAAAATAACTATCCTTCGTTGATGAAGTAGTGGGAAGCATTCTTTGTGGCGCAACTGTGTTGATGACCAAGGTTATCTTGCTGCTCTGCAAGTCAGTCAGATCATCAGCAAAATAAGGTGTCAGATGCCAGAGGAAGTGCTGAAATCCAATAGACTCCATGAGTTAAAAGGGCATTGAGTAGGTAATTATGTTGTTGTTTTTAAGTAGACCAGTTGCCCTCTGGAAATATAACAAGACACTTTCACTTTGGAACATGGCCACATTATTTACATTTTTCCCTTTGAAAGCCAACAACAAAAAAGAGGAATTTCCCATGGTTGGAGTGAACTGGTGGAACAATGACTGATTATACTACACTGCTTTTTTTTTAAGCTGGGAGGTGTGCCTGTACCTGGTTTCCACGTACCTGTTGGTGGAATGTTTTGTTTAATATATGGAAAGGTCAGAGGAGAGAGAAGAACAAACACAAAGGCAGTAATAGGTATTGTCCAAGAGGCAGAAAGAAAGCTTGCTTTGTAAGAGTATCTGATGACGGCATATGGATAGGGTGTGTGACAGGCACTATGATGGCTTTGTTGCCCTTAGCCTGAACATGTGATATTTCACGTTTTTCAAGAGTACATTTATTTTAAAGGGAGGGGTTATTTTTGTTTTGTGGGGTCTCTGAAGGAGTAGGGAAGCTGCAGGGTCACACCTGTTGTTTTTGGACATGTCAGAATATTTATGTGTCTGTAGCCTCAGGGATTGAATGGCATAGATGCTGGAACCCTAAAGAAGAAGAAAAAACCTTCAATCTGAACAGTTGTCAGAGCCCTTTGTGTCAGCTGCAACATTTTAGCAAAGCAACGCCATACTTCAAACTCTTAAAGAGACGAGCACAGGGGGAACTGTGGTTTATTTTGTGAACGTCCACTTTGAAAGATGTAGTTTGTGCAATCCATGACCACCATGTCTGTGGGGGAATATTTGAAGTTGTGGTGGGAGAACTGCAACAGAAGGCTTGAAGACTGCTAGTGGGTTAAGTAGAGTAACAGCTGAAGAAAAAGCTCTCTTGAAAGTACTCTCTTGGAGTAGAAATCATTTCAAAGATAGGTGTGAATACTGTGGGTGAGAAGAAGAGTGACTTCTTCCCAGGTTCACTGCAATTCTCAAACTCAGAACATTTGCGAAATAGTCAAGCACTGACTTGACCTAGGACACTGTCCTTCAACCCTGGGTTGTTGCACTACAAACTCCATCATCCCCAGCCAGCTTAGCCAATGGGCACAGGGCTACTAGAAGTTGAATTCCTACAGCTTCTAGGGACCATTGTTTGAATCACACTGACCTGTTATCTAATTCTAGATGTGTAGGTGTGAGTGGAGTGAGTGCTTGGCAAGAAGGCAGCCTTCATGGGCACTCCACCATTATCAACAGCTGCTGCTGCTACTCCCCTTTTTCATCATTGCTACCATCTGCTTGCTTGCCAATCAGAATCCACGAGCAAGCAGGCAGTGACATCTACTGCTCATCATCACTGTCACTATTGTCAGTGGCAGAGCAAGAGGCAGCGGGACAAGCAGACTGAAGAGGTGAAGAGGAGAAGCAGGTCCAGAGAGCTCTTGTTAGTGGACCTGCTGCTGGACTGTGAGCCCTCAACAAAGGCCTGACCATTCTGACTGTAGAACCTCTGTAGAGTGCAAGAGGTATCTTGCATGTTCTTTGATGCTCTTTCTTATTTGAGAGCCCAGGTGGAGACACCTGCCTGACCCCAAGAGACCACCAGAAGGAATGAATAACTCATGACAACATGTTATGGAATTAAAATTGGCCACAACTTTATTAACCCTTTCAGATGTAGTAAGACCTTGGCTTAGGCATTGGGCATATATCCTTCCCAGCACATCAGGGTTAATCGGATCCAGGGAGGGGGCACTGCAAGACGTCTGTTTACGCAGCCAGCCCACCCCCTTTTCCGTGCAACACGGGGGAGTTCACTGACAACCTTTCAGTGTATGGCCAGTGACTCCCTTTATAAAACCCTTTAACGGGGAACCTTGGAATCACCACCAAGGGGGGGAGGGTGAGTCACCACTTCACGCCCCCCTCCCCCATTTAGGGAAGATAGACTAAAGGATTCCACCCAACCACCAAAGTTGTGACAATTACTGCATGCTTTGCTGCTGGCTCCGCCCCCTTTTATTCACCTCAAGTGGACCTGAGTGAAGCCTGCTCACTCACAGTCCGCTCGGCTGGCCCTGCCGCCACCAAAGCAGCTGATTGGATTATTTGGACCGGGGTTTGGCGGGAACCCCCAATGACTGCAACATCAGGGAGGAGGGCCAGCACAACCAGCTGGTAAGTCTCATGTGGCTCGGGGGTGCTGCACACAGTTCCACAAAGGGCGCCCACAATTGGAGGAGTGAGCGTTCATTCTTATACATGTCCCATTGTGATGAAGAAGAGTACATGCTCAGAAAAGATGCTCCTATTTTAATCAGTAATTGCCACCACAAGCACCTTCCCCTACCTTTGAACCCAAAGAGAATTCAGAGCAGTGGGATTTCTCATGAGCAGAAAAAGAAAACTCAGGCCATTGCTCATTGTCAACCCTGGGATTCTCATACACTTCACCTTTCAAATATGTCGGATGGAGCCAAGCTGTCTAGACATGTGAGTTAAGATGAGACCTAGCTGTACACCAAGTCAGGCGACTTCAAGCTTCTGCTTTTAAGTATTATATACAAAAAAAAACCCCACATCCAGGTTGGTAGCCAACATATTCAGAATAAACCCATTGAAATCAATGGATTTGAGTAACTTAAAGTTTCATTGTTTTAAAAGGGTCTACTATGAGTATGCGTTAGTTGAATCAAGTGAGCAAAGACCGACAGAACACAGAGATTTTCTTAGCTAGGACTATTACAGTATTTATTGATGAAGGAGAAGCTTATGACCTGATCCTGATGAAAAGCTACATCTTGAACTAAGCTTCTTAAAGATGAGTTCTAGGGGTGCAGAGGGATCTTGGAGTTTTGCTCAGTCTAGTGTGTAGGCATGAAACAGGTGAGGGAAATATCTGGAAGAGATGAAGAGATTTCTTATTTTTTGCCAGATAGGATTTGAGTATTCACACAAACTGCATATATAGTTGCTTTCTTTGGGGGTTATAGATGAAAAGAGTCTTTGGAGAGAGATGGGGCAATTCTGGAGGGTGGAGTGGAAACTTGCTTTCCAATTACACCCTATCATTCAAAATAGTTTCTGTGTCTGAGGCAGACTCAAATTAAGGCTTTCATATTTGTCTTTGAAGTGATGGGGTGGGAGGGGGGAAAGGTCGCCAAGAGTTGTGTTTCTTCTTCTCCATTTTGCTGGGAGAAGATGCATCATTGACAGCTAAGGATTTATTATCAAAATGTAGAGTTCACCACCTAGCCTTGACATCAATGGAGTGTTAACTAGCCTTTACCTTACTGAATTCCGTCCAGAGTTAATTTCTAAAGCTAAGTTTGGGGTTTGCCTCTGCTGGTGCAGTGCTGAAACTGCTGGCTTGCTTGTGAAGCTAGGCAGGGTCCTCTCTGGTTAGAAATTGAATGGATGACCACATGCTGCTGCCTCTGTTTATAGCTTTACAAATTCAGTCAGTATAGCTTAAGACTCGTAATCTCAAGACTGTGGGTTTGAGCCCCACATTCAGCAAAAGGTGCATGCATTTCTGGGGCTAATGGGAGATGGAATCAAACAGCATCTGAAGGAGTCCAGATTTTCCTACCCTGATTTAGAAGAATCAAAAAAAATATGGGTATGCCTCGGGCCACCTAGACAATGAATTTGGCCAACTTGCTACCTGATTTTGTATCTTTTATTCAACCTTGTAATCTTTTTAAAATCAAGCTGTTAAATAGTGAATGAAGTAAATACAGTCAGATCAGATTTTGACAGAAATGTTGGTATTTGTACTGCAAAACCATACATTCTAGTTCCATACATTAGGAAGTTTCAAGAATTAGAAGCTGACTGGTTACCACAATATAACAAGCTTTATAATGGCAAGATGAAATTTGCAGGCACATGAGCCCAACAAGAGTGGATGAGATCTGCCAAATTGCAGACAGACAGGTGTGTGTGTGTTTCTTTGTGGCTGATTGGCTGCTCTCCCTGTGCAAAGGTCAGAGGGGGCAGGGTTTCTGTTGAGGCAGGTGATTAGCTGTGGGAGGAGCTTATCAGAGTTTGCAGGGCAGCGGCGCGCGCCTAGCGGCGCGCGCAGTTTGATCCATCCTTTAGATTTAGGGGAGCTAGTCTCAAACGTTTGTTGGGGGAGACCAAGGGTTTTGTTTGTTTGTTTGTTTGTTTGTGTGGGGGGAGTTATTTGTCCTGTCTTTACGCTTTTTTTTTGATGGAGGACCGCTGTAGCCAGCCCCAACGACACGTTCTCAAGATGGAGGGGGAGGGAACAGCTGCAGTCGCCTGCGGTTCCTGCGCAATGTTTGCCATCTTGCCAATGGTTGCAGGCAGCTTTACCTGCAGCAATTGCATGTTGATTGCCCTCTTAAAAGACAAAGTCCAGCAACTGGAGGAACGTGTAGCTACGCTCCAAAGAATTAGGGAGCTGGAGCTTTTCTTGGAAGCAGCAGAGCACAACGTCTCCACCAAGGAGCAGACAGGGGATTCCCCTGACAAGGAGGCTAGTACACCAACACAGGAGCCAGATATATGGAGAAACGTGACTCAAAGAAGTAGGAGGCCCAAGGTTCGCTCTGATTGTTTAGAAATACACAATCGCTTTGAGGTCCTCTCCCCTAGCATGGAAGACGAAGAGCAGACTCCATTTGAGGATCTCTCCCTCATTACAGTTGATCAGGTATATGAAGACGAGCAGCAAAGTCAGTCCTCAGGGAATGTGCAGGCGACCTTGGAACGGACAGCTCACGGAAGAACCCCGACCAAACCTAAGAGGAGGCGTGTAGTGGTGATAGGGGATTCCCTACTGAGGGGAACAGAAGCAGTGATCTGTGGGCCTGACAAGATGTCTCGGGAAGTGTGCTGTCTCCCGGGGCTAAGATCCAAGATGTAACTGAACGACTGCAAGGAGTCATAAAACCCACTGACAGATACCCCTTCCTCTTGGTTCATGTGGGAACCAATGACACTGCGAGCAATAGCCTCCAGAAGATCAAAAGAGACTACGAGGCTCTGGGCAGGAAGTTGAAGCAATTAAATGCACAAATTGTCATCTCATCTGTCCTCCCAGTTGAACGACGTGGCCCAGGGAGAGAGGGGAAAATAGTGGAAGTGAACAGCTGGCTTCGCAAATGGTGTAAACAGGAACGGTTTGGATTCTTAGATCACGGACTGCAGTTTCTTGAAGATGGACTTCTGGCAAGCGATGGGCTGCACCTCACAACGGTTGGGAGGAATGTTTTTGCCAAAAATCTCAGAAACCTCATCAGGAGGGCTTTAAACTGACTAATGTGGGGAGGGAGACAGTGCTCCTGAAGGTAGGAGTCTATCAATTGATGAAGATGATCATCCAAATGTCATAGACCAAATGGAGCAAACAGCACACAGACCTAGTGGTGGGAAAAAAAATCCTTAAATAAGAAACAAGGGGGAATGATTAATGGACTTCAATGTCTGTACACTAATGCGCAAAGCATGGGAAATAAACAAGATGAGCTTGAGCTCTTGGTACAGCAAACTAAATATGACATAATAGGCATCACTGAAACCTGGTGGGATAAGTCCCACGATTGGAATGTAATAATGGGGGATACAATCTATTTCAGAGAAACAGACCAGACAAGAAAGGAGGAGGAGTGGCGTTATATGTCAGGGATGTGTATACCTGTGAAGAGATCCAAGATTTAGAACCTCAAAGCCAAAGTGAGAGCATTTGGGTCAAAATTAAGGGAGAGAAGAATAACAGTGACCTCGTTGTGGGAGTTTACTATAGATCCCCAAGCCAAACGGAGGACATGGATGATGCCTTCCTGGAACAGATGGCCAAGCATGCAAAAGGAAGGGAGATAGTAGTAATGGGGGACTTCAATTACCCGGATATTTGTTGGATGTCAAACTCAGCAAAGAGCATAAGGTCAAACAGATTCCTCACTGGCCTTGCAGACAACTTCATTGTCCAGAAAGTGGGAGAAGCAACAAGAGGAACAGCCATTTTAGATCTGGTCCTAACCAATGTTGATGACCTGGTTAGTGGGGTAGAAGTGGAAGGATCATTAGGCACGAGTGATCATGCTCTTCTGAAGTTTACTATACAGCGGAAAGGAGCAGCCAAGCATACTAGGACTCAATTTCTTGACTTTAAGAAAGCCGACTTCATAAAACTTAGGGAAGTGCTGGGTGAGATCCCATGGACAATAATACTAAAAGGAAAGGGAGTTCATGATGGCTGGGAGTTTGTTAAGAGGGAGATACTAAAAGCACAACGTCAGGCAATACCAATGAGACGGAAACATGGAAGGTGCTTAAAGAAGCCAGGGTGGCTATCTAAAGAACTTTTAACTGAGTTAAGATTAAAAAGGATGTGTACAAAAATGGAAAAGGGGGAAACCACCAAAGAGGAATTCAAACAAATAGCCAGCACGTGTAGACACAAAGTCAGAAAAGCTAAAGCACAGAATGAACTCAGGCTTGCTAGAGAGGTTAAAAGCAACAAAATGGCTTTTATGGGTATGTTCGTAGCAAAAGGAAGAACAAAGAAACAGTGGGGTCACTCAGAGGAGAAGATGGTGAAATGCAAACAGGGGACACAGAAAGGGCTGAACTCCTCAATGCCTTCTTTGCCTCAGTCTTCTCCGATAAAGAAAACAATGCCCGACCTGAAGAATTTGGAGCAAATGATTCAGCAAAGGAAACACAGCCCAGAATAACTAAGGAGATAGTACAAGAATACTTGGCTAGTTTAGATGTATTCAAGTCTCCAGGGCCAGATGAACTGCATCCAAGAGTATTAAAAGAACTGGCAGATGTGATCTCAGAACCACTGGCAGTCATCTTTGAGAATTCCTGGAGAACAGGCGAAGTCCCGGCAGACTGGAGGAGGGCAAATGTTGTCCCTATTTTCAAAAAGGGGAAAAGAGAGGACCCAAATAATTACCGCCCAGTCAGTCTGACATCAATACCAGGGAAGATTCTGGAGCAGATCATTAAGCAAACAGTCTGTGAGCACCTAGAAAGGAATGCTGTGATCACCAATAGTCAGCATGGATTTCTGAAAAATAAGTCATGTCAGACTAACCTGATCTCGTTTTTTGACAGAATTACAAGCCTGGTAGATGAAGGGAACGCAGTGGATGTAGCCTACCTTGATTTCAGCAAGGCATTTGACAAGGTGCCCCATGATATTCTTGTAAAGAAGCTGGTAAAATGCGGTCTTGACTATGCTACCACTCAGTGGATTTGTAACTGGCTGACTGACCGAACCCAAAGGGTGCTCATCAATGGTTCCTCTTCATTCTGGAGAAGAGTGACTAGTGGGGTGCCACAGGGTTCTGTCTTGGGCCCGGTCTTATTCAACATCTTTATCAACGACTTGGATGATGGACTCAAGGGCATCCTGATCAAATTTGCAGATGACACCAAACTGGGAGGGGTGGCTAACACCCCAGAGGACAGGATCACACTTCAAAATGACCTTGACAGATTAGAGAACTGGGCCAAAACAAACAAGATGAATTTTAACAGGGAGAAATGTAAAGTATTGCACTTGGGCAAAAAAATGAGAGGCACAAATACAAGATGGGGGACACCTGGCTTGAGAGCAGTACATGTGAAAAGGATCTAGGAGTCTTGGTTGACCACAAACTTGACATGAGCCAACAGTGTGACATGGCAGCTAAAAAGCCAATGCAATTCTGGGCTGCATCAATAGGAGTATAGCATCTAGATCAAGGGAAGTAATAGTGCCACTGTATTCTGCTCTGGTCAGACCTCACCTGGAGTACTGTGTCCAGTTCTGGGCACCACAGTTCAAGAAGGACACTGACAAACTGGAACGTGTCCAGAGGAGGGCAACCAAAATGGTCAAAGGCCTGGAAACGATGCCTTATGAGGAACGGCTAAGGGAGCTGGGCATGTTTAGCCTGGAGAAGAGGAGGTTAAGGGGAGATATGATAGCCATGTTCAAATATATAAAAGGATGTCACATAGAGGAGGGAGAAAGGTTGTTTTCTGCTGCTCCAGAGAAGCGGACACGGAGCAATGGATCCAAACTACAAGAAAGAAGATTCCACCTAAACATTAGGAAGAACTTCCTGACAGTAAGAGCTGTTCGACAGTGGAATTTGCTGCCAAGGAGTGTGGTGGAGTCTCCTTCTTTGGAGGTCTTTAAGCAGAGGCTTGACAACCATATGTCAGGAGTGCTCTGATGGTGTTTCCTGCTTGGCAGGGGGTTGGACTCGATGGCCCTTGTGGTCTCTTCCAACTCTATGATTCTATGATTCTATGATTCTATGATTCTAGGTCCAGGTACCTTTCATAGGGGAAGTAAAAGAGATTTACCACCCTTAGACCTGCAGGTATACGGCGGCATACAATTGTTTGTTTGTTTGTTTGTTTGTTTGTTTGTTTGTACATACATACATACATACATACATACTTTCCTCCATACAGTGGTACCTCAGGTTAAGTACTTAATTTGTTCCGGAAGTCCGTACTTAACCTGAAATTGTACTTAACCTGAA